TGGGAGTTTTATTAATAAAACGCAAGGCAAATGAATAAACTTTCAGATGATACCCATAACTCCAGATGCCCAAAAATTGACGAGCGCCTGATTCCACCACGTCGTGACACTTGAAATTCCTACACACCACAGCACAGCAGATATAAAAAATGGTAGTAAGCAAACCATTTCATAATCTCGCTGCACAAGTGGAATTATTATCATTTTAAAAAATTGAACCAGAAATTTTATTGCTCATGAATGTTACCCTCAATTTATGAATGACTAATCAGCATTCAAGCACACACTTAACACATGTCATATAACTAAAGACAATTATACAAATAATAATGTATTTTCAACTGAGATAAATAAAAATGGCTTAGTAAACTGAAATGACAAGACATGAGAACGTGCAACAAAAGAGAAATAGAATATATATTAATTAAAACTTTTTTATTAAAAATCACAGATTAAAAATCCCAAATAACTGCTCGTTCCTGTGAACATTCAACAAAAGTACGAATCTCTGCATAAAAGATTAGGGAGGAAAAAAAGCAACTTTGAAGTGATAAGCTCGAATGAAACTTTAAAGTATTGGTTCAATTACTCCCCACCCCTGCCACCACATTCCACTCCCCCTTTTCTATGCTCCAAAAGAAACAGATGAACAGGCTGTAAATACAAATAGCTTTTTATTCTTTTTACTGGTAAAAGAATATTGCCATTAAAAATGGAGTTATAAGTTGGAAATTATCAGCATTTATGAAAGAATTTAAAGATTTAAAAAATCTTAAAAGTCAGCTTCTTGAAACAAACAGTGAGCACAAAATTAAAAACTTTTGAGATAAAACATCTGGTTTTATGGCTTTGCTAAAGTTTAGTGCATATTTCACTACATTGAACATTAATAGGCAATGTGCGTAAATGATTTTAAAACTTATTTACTCTTTGTTGATTAAAAATGGAGTTATATTCTAGTCTCCAGTTGCGTTGTGAGTCATATAATACAAAATTGATCAACGGTTCATCCACATCTTGAACAAAAAAATCTAATTAAGCAAAAGTCATGAGAATTAGGGCGTAGGTGTTCTATTACAGAAACCTATGTCTGGAATAACTCTTCAATGGTTTTATAAGATTAAGTTTCACGTCCAAGTTTCTTCAATCTACAAATTTGAAGTGTGCAAGATATGGGGTTACGATGTCATCAGCTATGCAGTTGAATGTGCTGGAAATAACATGTAGTTGCATAGTAGACTAAACCCTGATTATCAAAAAAAAAATTATTTAAAAATATTAAATGGAAAGGATAAAAAATTATGTTTCAAATAAATCAGTCACCTCTTCCCTACACAAAACAACAACACAGATTCACACATTACAAACTAGTCTAGTGAGATCATCTTGGTTCTTTATCTTAAAAAAAAAGGAACTTATTCTTATGAATGCAATGAAAGGAAACACAGCAAAAACCATAATAGTCACTCATAATTACTGTTTTTTTACAAGTCACAAAACAATTACACTATTGAGGTGATACACATGAAGGGTATTATCAAAGGATTAGGATATATTTATATTATAATATATTCATATATTATATATCGAATTGGTGTGAACTTTCTTGTTATATACATTGTGTTTCAAATTTCAATTTAAAGCCAGTGTATATCATATGTTAAGTAAATGAACCTGATGCGGAAAGCAGAAAGAAAAAAGGGTTTGCTGAACAGCCTCATGAGCTTTTTTTTGTCTTTTTTTGTTGTTCTTTTTAAAAAACCTTTCAGCTTCGAGAAATGTAGGTAGTCACAGTTGACTTGAAGATGACAAGACAATTTTTTTTGTGCCTGCCGTATGAAATACAGAGACAGATGTTCTTGAACACTCGCAGAAAATTTTCATTTTATACATGATATGTAAGACAAAAAACATGACACAATAGTGGTATGGATAATCAATATACTGACCATGAACTCTTGAATAACTTTTTAAGCACAAAATTGGGTAGACAGTTGAATCGAGTCTCACATTCCAAATAATGTTTGAAAAAAGATCATCACGTCATGGGAACATCATCTTTTAAAATAAAAAATTGAAGATAGCATTTGCTTTTGCTTGTATTGTCACACAGAATAAGAGAATAATAATGAAGCAGATGAAAAGTTCTCAAATTGAAATATTTTGTTAAAGAAAATGTTCAAACAAACTCTTCCCACAGACAACAGTTAATGAAACAAACTTTTTTCTCATGCCATTGTTTATGATATTTCTTTCAGTCATCTCGCCTAAATACAATACACTCATCATATATGCAATTCATAATATAACTGAATAATTATAATTTGGTAGACACATTAGAGGTATCAAAGGCTGAAACAGAAAGAGTGTAACATAAACAGTCGCAGAAAAATACTCCGATAAGTTTCAAAAGTCATAAAACTCACAGACTTGATGGGAAAAGAGAGGGATACCATATTCATCCCCTCTAACTATAGCATGTTTACTATTAATTACTTTTACAGGAATATATTTCCGAGACAAGTAAGAGCAGGTTGCTTTCAGTATTTTATCAGAGCTTTTCTTTAAAACCAGTGAATAGATGAGAAAACTGCATCAACAATGTTTTGATTTATCAAAAAGTTGAAAGTGATTGTCCACTTGCTTAAGTAACAGATAAAGAAGATTATAAATCTTACTTCCCACTGGTTTATTTATTTATTTATTCCTTAATTAATTAAACCATTAATTAATTTAAATTAATTAAACTACTAATTTTTTCATTAAAAAATTAAATAAATTTTCCAGCTGAAAAGTAAGCCTTCCTAAATTTCACTGGAGCGATACAGATCACCCTACATTTCTCATAGTGTTTACAAACTGAATTACTTGCTGTGATAGATGCTTCAGGCTGCGGAGTTTTCTGTGACATGTTTATGCTACAGGCTTGCACCACAGATTTGACGGGTCACAAGGAAGCTTTATGCCGTTCAAACAATTGATGAGGTGAGAAGTAAATGATTCATATCACATTAAGAACCATAATTTCAAACAATTAGGATAAAAGTAATAATCACAATAATAATAATAATAATAATAATAATAATAATAATAATAATAATAATAATAATAATAATAATAAAAATATTAATTTATAATAAAAATATTAAGATAATAGCAACAATATAACAACAACAACAACAATTAAAATTGTAATAAATAAAATTGATAAAACAATGACAATAATAAAAACATAAAGACAATAATTTATATTCTTAACAACAATAAAAATAATGATAATGATAATAATGATAATAATAATAATAAATAATGATAATAATAATAATAATAATATATAATAATAATAATACAAGAGTAAAAATATAATAACTATTATAATCATCATCATAATATTAGCCTAATAATAATAATAATAATAATAATAACATTAACAATAATAATAATAATATATTTTATGAAAACATACAAATATTGGGAAAAACTGGTGAGAACAGCCGACATGACAAATTGAGAAGTGGTTTTATGGATTATAACAAACATGAACACACACAAACCAAATCTCACTTAGTTATGTATATTACAAAAAGATGTCACACACATTCACGCAAATCAAACTAGTTTGCATTAAATAGTGAACATTTCATTTATGAAATATTAACAAATTATGATGGAGAACTCATCATTATCTATTAACATATCATAAAGTATGTATTGCTTATGTGGTCTTTCTCCCATAACTGTATTCCAAGAATACTATGATACACGTACATAAACAGTACCAAAGTTACATTGTTACAAACAGTGTGGGTTTCATTTGTTGTTGCTGTAAGAAAAAAAAAGCATTAAAAAACAGTGTATCAAGTGCCACTGAGACATTTAGGAGAATATATATAATATATATATATATATAATATGGCAATGATATACTATAAATATATGTATCATACGATTACATCGTTTCATAAACCATACTTCAAAGAAGAATAAACTTAAAATGGTGAATGGAAGCCTCTTAAAGAATGGGAAATTCAAAAAATAAAATAAAATAATAATAATAAATTAAGACGAATGTTATGTCATTAAGAGACATTAACCAAGAGGAAAATATCATCCTCATCAATGGAAAAGGAAAACAAAACATAGGAAGATTAGTCAGACCAAATTGGAGGGACTGTGACTGAACTGGAGTAGGTTGGTTTGCATTGCTTGTTTGTACCTGGCATAATAACTTTGTAGTATGAGAAGCAATGCTGCTGCCTGTTAGTACTTTCAAGTAAAGCTCAATTTTACTACGCCCAAACCTGCTTGTTCCTGCTCTGTTTACTTTTACTACAAGAACATTCTTTGAGAAGATTGGTAACACGGGTTTTATTTAAACTAAATAGGCCTACTTCTTTTATTGCTTTTTTCAACGACATAAAAATAACTTTTTCAAGGGAAGCTGACATATATATATATATCAAATTTTGAAACATGATTTGAATGCTTTACTTTTGCACATCAGCTCACAGTCACTTAACAAAGTGATGCTTAGATCTTGAATGTTTCACCTCCCTACCACAGCTTGGCTACCTTATGCTCTGTTTATTTGTTTGTTGCTGTCTAGACTTTCAAATTATGTATGCATACTCCTAGATTGCATGACAATATCATAATATGTATGTTGTGATTATTAACCAACTTCCAGAATCAATCTTCCATTTTAATGTTCATTTTCCCCTCTTCGTAACAGTGAGATTAAAACATTGCATCAAGAAATGAAATTTCCAGAGTGGGATGAGTTAAATATTTCTGATGTCTTTTGCCAAAACATGCGTTTGGGGTGTATTTAGAAAAGAAGATCATGAACTGCAGTGAGATGAGGTTTCAAGTGAGAATAGTCATGAAAATGTTTAATTCAAGGAAACCAAGAACAAAGGTTAAAGTCTCTTTATTTTATTTTTTAAAAACCTGTTGACAATGCAGTCCATATTTTCTGCAACTGATGAAATTCTTTAGTATTTGGGGATCTTTTTTTTTTTTGTGTTACTTTAGTCAAAAGTCTTCGGCAATGTTGGTATATATATTTGGCTTGGGACTGTCATTGGCTATGTTAAAAATGTTTTGGTCGTTGTTGTTTATTGGGGGGGGGGGGGGGGGGGGGAGGTGTCTTGAAAATAGCCCCATCTGGTCACTTGTCGTCATGACTTTCTTTTTTTTTCTTTTACAGAAGATGCTGTTCATGCTACCTTCAAACTCTGAGACAACGAGGACAGAGAGTTTGTCCTGTTCCTTGCGGAGGAGTAAAGAGCACATAATTAAATTTGACCTTATAAATTCTACATCAAATCCCTAGATTTCTTTCCACTATATCAAGAAAGATACCAATGTTGTTCAATACCAATCTCATGCTCAGTGTTCTAATCCTCCTTCTATCTGACCACATCATCATAATGCCATGAGACTTTGAAAAGTAAAAAAAAAAAAAAAAAGAAATTAATTAACAGAAGTGTAAATTACACAAGCAGAAACATATAGGAGAACAGATCATAACGATCCACACAAATGAGAATGAGACACATTATCTCAGAACACAATAATCTTGCCAGAAGTTTAGGGCAATCACCCTGTAAGTTCATGTGTTCATTGACCAAACATAGAATGCAGGCAGGAAACCCCATCAAACCACCCCGGGTATCAAAATGTTCAAAAAAGTAAAATAAAAAAAAACACAAAAAAAAACAAGAATAGATGATACTGACATAACTTTATATTATAAGCTCAGAAAAGCTCATTACAAAGATAAAGTGGTACACATGTATTTACCAGAATGTATATTGGTGTAAACAGTATGCAATAAATGTCGTTGCTCAAAACAATAAGGGAAAAAAGGGAGAGAGAGACAGAAAGTTATTTTATCATTTTTAATTAATCAACAAAAAAAAAGTTCATTACAAAAAAAACCTTCCAGATCAGTTCGAATTTCCATCCTTCGTTGAGGTTTATTTATTTATAATTTGTTGTCGATCTTTTTTTTTTGTAACTGCTCGACTGCTTTGTATCTCCACTGCTTGGTAAGTAGCCGAGCTGTAAGAAGAGGAAGTTAGGACTGCATCATGGCCGCGGCGAGAGAAGCCCAGAGTTCATGAGCCCTGCAGACGTGTAGGAAAACATTGAAGAGTATAAAATAGAAGTGTAGAAGAGAATCCGTCCTTGACCCTATGTGGCTCATGTTGCCTGCGGGCGTCGTTAAAAGTTGCGGCCAGCAAGCAGTGCACTGGCCAGGCTGGTGGTCTGGGAAAAAAACAAGAGCAAAGGACATATAGAACAAGAATGGAACATTGATAAGAATGGGCAAACATTAATAATAATATATATTATTGTGTGTGTGTGTGTGTGTGA